AATATAGACTGTGTCATAGAAAAATGACTTTTGACCAGGTATGCTGGCTGGTGGCCTCTAACTCCAGCACTTGGAAGGTTGAGATAGGGGGATTTTTGAGAATCTGGGTTGCATAGCAAGACCCAATTTCAAGAAGAAAGGCTCTTCTACCTTCCCCTCGGTTGGCCTTTGGCCAATGGGTGTGCCCGCAGCTCTGCCTGGGTTCCATGGATGGTTTCTTCCCCTTAATTCTGCTGATCTCCAGCAGAAGAGCAGTTCCGTCTCTGATCGTCACTCTCCTGCCTTGATTTCTGCCACATCTGTGGGTAGAAAGGGTTGCCAACATTTTAGAAGCTCAGATAGGGAGGGACGTCCCAGGAGAATGTAGTTAGGTACTCATTGCTGGTAGTGCTCGAGCCCTTTGATTAAAGACTGTCGCCTACTCGGAGGCCTAGAAGCGTCCCACCATGCACACTGGCTCATGCTGTGCCAGAGTTCTTCCAAGCACATTGTCCCTTTAGGAGCAATGAAGTGCTTTCCGGTTAGTGCACATCCAGAAATATTCCCGGAAGTGTTCTTATCCTGGCAAAGCTGGGGGTCTTGGGGGCTTGGAAACCTTTTGTGTTGATTGTGGGAGTTCTAAAGAGCAAGATGCCTTCAACAGGTCACTTGTGACAGATCTGCGGCATTGTCATGATTTTAAATTAGTGTTAATGAGTAGGCATAATTAATTTACCGTGTAAATGAGCAACACTAACAAAGACATCATCATTCACCACAATAATTACCGTAGAATTAGAATCAAATGTGTTTTTTTAAGCTTTAGAGCATAAAAATGTTGGTTTAAGGGATTTTATTCCATAAATATATATCATTTGATCAAAACAAGGTTTTTAAAAAATAACTTAATCCGTATGTGTTCTCTGCCCCTCCATCCCTTCCTTCTGCTGTGTTAGCCAGCATTGCTGAGCACGTGACGGTCACATGAAAAACATCAAACATATTCAAGGACAGCTGAGATAGCTCAGCAGGTAAATGTGCTGCTGCCAAGCCTTAGCCCTCTGAGTGGAAGGAGAGAAACGACTCCCGAAGTTATTCTCTGACCCTCCACATGCTTGCTGCGGCACAGTCGCCCCCTCCCCCACACCCTCCAACACAAATGGGTAAATAAACGCAACTTTAAACTTTTAAAGCTATCAAAATAAAATTTAGTTGGCTTTCCGCCCCCCAAAAATATTTATTTTTATTTTATGCATATGAGTGTTCTGCCTCCATGGATATCTGTGTATCACATGTATGCCCTGGAAGCCAGAGCGGGTGTCAGATCCCCTGGAAGTGAAGTTACTGTTGTGAGCCACCCTATGGGTTCGGGGATCTGAACCCAGGTCTCGGCAAGACCAGCAAGGGTTTGTAACTGCCGAGCCATCCCTCCAGCCCCTATTTAATGATAAACTTAACAGAATGTGTGGGAATAAGGGCTCAAACCATATACTGAATGCTGAGTATGTGTTCTCTCCTGGAGCTGCATCTCCAGCCATCACTGTCATTAAATAATAATAATAATAATAATAATTAATAATAGTAATAATCGAACCCTTAGTGGATTTCTGTTCAGGAATTGTGTTGCTTTCTCACAGTCATGCAAATTTTACTGCCACCCAAGAGAGCGTGCTGCCACTTTTATGACACACACAAGTGTCACCCTTGTTTAAGATTAGCTGTCAGAGGAGGCAGAAAACCTGAAACCTGAGCTTTCTGCTCCATTGATCTTCCGGGATGACCTTGGGTAGGTCATTTCAACCCTCCGCTTTGGTTTGCTCATCTCAAGACAGACAGTGCTTTCCTTCAGTCATCTGATGTCACAGGGATGTGGTCGAGCTCCGAGAGATGAACCGCCCGCCCTTCATCCCATCAAGGAACATCTTTCTCCAGCTCTTCAGGGAGCACTCCATGAAAAGTCTAGCTGCCAGTGATGGCCAATTAGATATTCCTGCCTCCACTGCCTCACCATGCAGGGAGCTCTGACTGAAGGTGATGCTCCTGCCTCACAGACATTCGCCAGGTGCCATTTGTTAATCAGATTCCTTTATAAACCCGTCATGGGAGTAACTCTGCTAAAATGGATCTTGACAGGGTTTTATTTTTTAAATTTTATTTTTAATTAAAATGTAATTATACCATTTCCTCCGCTCCTTCTCCTCCTTCCCACCCTTTTCCATGACCCTCCTCTCAAATGCATGGCCTCTTTTTCTCTAATTATTATTATCATAGCTACATAAAAATATACTAGACAGTGAAAGTGGAAAACCCAGTGTGAAACTCCATAGCGTCAGAATGCCTGTTCCTAACTATGAAGAAGTTCATTGAGATGTGTAGACTTGGGATCTGGTTAGTTTTGATGCGTGGTATCTATTTTATCTGCACGTGTTTAATAAGTATAAAATTAGAATAAATATGAAATTAGTCACATATATACATATAAAAATGAATAAATATATAATTATAGCATGCTGAGCCCATTGGTATTGCCTGTATGTATATGCTGTTAAGGCTGATGATAATAATAATAATAATAATAATAATAATAGTAATAATAATAATAATAAAAACCCTTGGTGAATTTTTGTTCAGGAATTGTGTCGATTCCTCACAGTCAAGCAAGTTTCACTGCCACCCAAGTGGCGATAAAACTCGGATTGTAAGATCCAGAGTTTTCTTAATAAAACTTGGGGCTGGCTTACTTCAGAGCACTGGCTTTCTTTCAGAAGACTGGGTTTCGTTCCCAGCACCCACGTGATGGCTCACAACCATCTGTAATTCCAGTTCCAGGGAATGTGACACCTGCTCCTGGCTTCTTCAGGCACCAGACATGCTTGTAGTGCACACACATGCATGCAGGCAAAACACTCATATACATAGAATAAAAGTAAATAAATCTTTAAAGCAAAGAGCTGAAGAGCATCTAAAAACATTGGTTGTTTGGTGAGGCATGAGAACTATCATTCGTGTTTGGAGAAGAGGGGTGCCCACAGAGAGCATCGGACTGCTGATGTTGTAACTACGTGCTGTAGTTCCCAGCTTCAGACACAGGTCACAGACCAAGTTCTAGCATCAAATGTAAACCAAGCTTCCAGAGCAAAGCCTTAGCAAAACACAAGGTCAGAGTGGTGGGCAGCTTAAGAGATGCAAAGGCTGTAAGTTTCAGAGATACCTATACTATTGTTGACCCTGTAGTGTGTGTGTGTGTGTGTGTGTGTGTGTGTGTGCGCGCGCGCGCGTGCACAAAAAATGAATAAATTTTTCATTTCTTTTATGTTGATGATGAACTAGTTTTTGTCTGCACTCCCTCCCTCCCCCCTCCCTCCCTCCCTCCCTCCCTCTCCTCCTTCCTACCTTCCATCTTTGCCTTGAGAACAAGAGGCCTGTGAGCACCACCTTACCAAGAGTTTCGAAAATTGAGAAGTGAATTTCGGCTCAACCCATGCTAACTTTTTGAGATAGGAGCCAGAACCTTGAAGGTAGTGGCCGAGTTGTGTCTGTTATAACTTCCTGCCCAATGGACTCTGCTTTCCTCTCTGGGGTCTTTGTGACATGCGCAATCGCTTCCTATTTGAAGCTTCCTCTGACTTCTCTTTTCCCTCCAAACGTACGGAGGTGAGGGAGATTCCTTTATGATTCCAGGGACTGCCTCTGCCTTCTCTCCACTCTGTTACTAGATAGCCCAGGTTACGGAAAGGGGTGGGCTCTGGGGCTGTGCAGTGGGGAAGCCAGAGGGAAGCCTGGGTCTGTGAGCTTTGTCAAGCCGGGTTAGCTGTGAAGACCCACCTCATTGCAGCCCCAGTACCTGAGAGCCTTCCCCACACTTCAGTTTGGAGGGAGAAATGCCCGTTACAAATGGAAAATTCATGTCCATTTTAGACAAAGAGGGGGAGATGGCTCCTTTGTGTGTGCTGATGTTAAAACGCCCAAGTCTGGTCACCTCCTTGGGTTTTGCACCTCTTTTTTTTTTTTTGGTTTTTCGAGACAGGGTTTCCCTGTGTAGCTTTGCACCTTTCCTGGAACTCACTTGGTAGCCCAGGCTGGCCTTGAACTCACAGAGATCCGCCTGCCTCTGCCTCCCGAGTGCTGGGATTAAAGGCGTGCGCCACCACCGCCCGGCCCTCTTTTTCTTTTTTTTAAATGAAACTTCCAAGCATGTAGAGTTAAGAATGCACACACACACACACACACACACACACACACACACACACACACACAAACAAACAAGCGAACAAACAAAATAATGCTAACACCAGGACTGCAGAGACCGCCCAGCGGGTAAAGGTGCTTGCCGCTGATGCTGAGGACCTGGGTTCAACCATGGGATCCACATGGCCAAAGGCGAGCCAGTTCACACAAGTCGTCCCCTGACCACCACACGTGCACACAAACAAAACAAGTAAATGTTAAAAAATAAATAAATTAACATCAGTACAATCTGTATAACTTCCCCCGGGGATGTCTTTCATCAGTTTATTTATAGGCTCTAGGTACATAAGAGGAGATAAGGATTTTCCAATGACTGCATATTGTTCCTCAACAGGTTTCAGTTAAAATAACTCACACCAATGTGGTGTGTTTGGCAGTGGCGTCTTCTAGTCCCCTCAAAGTATATCCTGAGTGTCATCTGAACATAAAAGGCAAATGTGTATCTAAAATACAGTCGTGAGTAAAGGCATGGGCTTAGCTGTGTAACTGCCCCCTCAGCTGCCGCTCACTTTTAAACTCAGCAAACATCTTCTTGTAGGACACACCCTCTCCTGATCTGTTGTCTGTGTGGAGAAGATGTCATTATTTTATTGTTATTTATAGCACAAACAAGCTTGCTATTACTTCCAAAGTAATGAGAGCTGGCCTGGTTATTTTGAGGTCACTGACATTGGTGTCTACCTGTGTTTAGAATGGAAGAGCCCAGGATTGGTGTGCATGTGTTTTACGGGGTAATCATGTGTTTTTCTTTTGGCTTTTCTCTCTGACTGCAGCAGCGTGCAGGGTCGAGGACAGCCGGCCCCCCATGTCAGTGGTCTAGGATGGCCAGTGAGGGCGCCAGCATCCCAAGTCCTGTGGTGCGCCAGATTGACAAGCAGTTTCTGATCTGCAGTATATGCCTGGAACGGTACAAGAACCCCAAGGTCCTGCCCTGTCTGCACACTTTCTGCGAGAGGTAAGCTTCTTTTGTGCTCCCACACTCACCTGCTCAGGCCCTTTCCCAGGACTCCACTGCTCCCCAAGGGGGACAATGCCTGACTTGTGCTCCTAACAGACATCTAGGAACCCAGTCAGGAACTGCCAGTGGCTTACTTCATTTCAAACGATTACAAGTCTGAGAAAGCATCCAGGAACGGACTGGCTCACCTCCAAAAGACAGAGCTAAAGAAAACACACTTCTTACTTGTCTTTCTTGAAAGAGTGTTTCAGTTGCTATTTCATTTTAAAGATTCTGTTTGTTTGTTTGTTTGTTTGTTTGTTTGTTTAATTTTGAGGCAGGCTTTCACTATGTAGACCAATTTTGTGCCAAAAAAACAAACTTCCAAATGGAAATGTCTTAGAAGCCCAACATTCTCTCGGGATCAATTGGTGCAGCCAGGAGCAATTGTGTCTCACATCAACAGAATGCTAAGTTATTTAAATACCATATTACCAGGCTGACCTTGAGCTCACAGAGAATTGCCTGCTTCTGCTTCCCAAGTGCTGAGATTAAAGGTGTGTATCACTATGCCTGGCTAGGATTTTATTTTTATTTATGTATATGTATGTGTGTGTCTGTTTGTCTGTCTGTGGGCAGAGGCCAGAAAAGGGTGTCAGATACCCTGGAGCTCGAGTTACAGGTGGTTGTGAACCTCTGGCTGAATGTGGGTGCTGGGAACCACACTCGAACCCTATGTAAGAACAACTAGCACTCTCGGACACAGAACCACTTCTCCAGTCCTTTATATACACTTTTATACTCCGTGGCTTGACTTACTATGTTTTAAAAAAAGCCCATAAGGATAAGAAGTTTGTTTCATGACCTGCTTGGTGGCCCAAGCCTGTAATTACAGTACTTGGGAGGCTGAGGTAGTAGAATCTTTTTTTTTTTTTTTTTGGTTTTTCAAGACAGGGTTTCTCTGTGTAGCTTTGCACCTTTCCTGGGACTCACTTGGTAGCCCAGGTTGGCCTCGAACTCACAGAGATCCGCCTGGCTCTGCCTCCCGAGTGCTGGGATTAAAGGCGTTTGATTTTGAAGATAGTCTGGGCTATTGAGAGCTTGTCTTTAAAAAACAAAACAAAAAACAGAATCGGGAGTGCTGGCGCACTCCTTTAATCCCAGTACTCGGGAGGCAGAGGCAAGTGGATCTCTGTGAGTTCAAATGTCTACATAGTGAATTCCAGGACCGCCAGGCCTATGTAAAAAGACCCTGTCTCAAAAACAAACAAACAAAAAACCAAAACAACAACAAAAACAAAAACAGGAAGAGAAGTTCTTAGCATGGAGTTTACTTGTGACTTATTTTAAGCGTGTCCTTAGCAAGGCTTTATAAATACTGTTCTTCAAAATGAATGAATACTCTAGCAATGTTGAAACATATGTTGTTAAATACATTTTTCTTACTTAATAGATGTAATTAAAATAGTATACTTCCTATTTCTAGGTCATGAACTCAGTGCTTTCAATGATTTCAAATAGATGCTGATTTTATTTACCATCCAATTCAAAACACATTTATTATTTAACTGGTGATTTAAAAAAAAAGAGTTGATTTACTCTGAAGGGTCCTGCTGCAGCAGAAAGACTACATCCTTGATGGCGGTGATGGGTAGAGGGAAGGTACATGTGCCTCTCAATAGATGTTGTGGGGTTTTCCTTTCATTTGGAATTATGTAGTGGGTTGTTTGTTTTAGTGATGGTACATATCTCACACCTGTGCTTTTTATTTCATTCATATTTATCCAAGTGCTTTGTAATTCATATCCTCCAATAATTAAATAGTGATCATCCCCTCCCCCACCCCAACGCTGACTGGGCATGGCCAAATGCAAAGCCCAGAGAACTGCCACTCTGTCCCTGGGTACAGATAGTGACACCATTACTTTATTTGCAGCAGTCACCATAGCCTGGCACTTACACAGTATGTACCGGCTGAGAGTCACTCAGTCCATGCTCAACAGAACTGCCTAATCCCTGTGTTTATAGCACCCTCTCAGGGGCTTTTTTGATACCTCTTTCTTAACCATGTTAGGTAAGAAGCAACACTTCTGAGCTGCCCAGGGTCCACCCCTGCTAAGCCTTGCCTCTGTCCAGCAATGCATGGCAGAGACTCATGAGATCCTACTGTAGGGAGTCCCTGTGGGATGCATTAGACTTGTTCTAGCAGTGTGCTCATTGGAGCGGCTCCTTTTGACAGTGCTCAGCAGCTTTCCTTAGAAGGTTTAGTATTTTATAGAGAAAAGTTGTACAGCTGGTCACTTAACCCAGTGTCTTCTAAAACACCATCAACAAGGCTGAGAAGGAGAACAAAACTAAACATCTCCTGGCCAGTTATGAACTCCCAACCATTCCAATTAATACATTAAACCAGGGACAGGGTTGGAGAGATGGCTCAGAGGTTAAGAGCACTGGCTGCTTTTCCTGGAGGTCCTGAGTTCAATTCCCAGCATCCACATGGTGGCTCACAACCATCTATAATGAGATCTGGTGCCCTCTTCTGTCATCCAAGAGGGCACCAGGCAGGAGACTGTATATATAATGAATAAATAAAGATTTATAGCCGGGCGGCGGTGGTGGCGCATGCCTTTAATCCCAGCACTCGGGAGGCAGAGGCAGGCGGATCTCTGTGAGTTCAAGGCCAGCCTGGACTACCAAGTGAGTCCCAGGAAAGGCGCAAAGCTACACAGAAAAACCCTGTCTCAAAAAACCAAAAAAAAAAACCAAACCAAAACAAACAAACAAACAAACAAAAAAAAAAACAGTTGAGTATCTGTTGTCAGATGGCCAT